GAGAGAGAGAGAGAGAGAGAGAGAGAGAGAGAGAGAGGGTGTGTGTGTGTTGTGAAACCAAATTAAATTAAATTAAGGTGTTACGTCCTGTAGATTCCACAATTCCTTTCTTTCGAAGGATCTTAGTCAGCGTCATGACTAGAGTGAGATTTACGAGAAGGGACCGAGTGCTGATATCTGATAATAGAGCCTAAGTAAACTTCACGCACTGGGAAACTCGTAAATGCCACTCAAAAGAAAAATCAAAAGAGAAAAACAGCATGCGTACAAAGGCTGGCGGCGCGGCGATACAAATTGCGAAACCGTATATTTTTAATGCAAGCGGTCACGGGATAACGAACACTCAAAAGTACCATCTGGGGGTGATCCACGATTCTAAGAAAACTTGTTTAAGGAATAACAGGCAACATGTCCATCGTGCCAAATTGTAAAACTCTTAAAGGGTTTCCCACAGCAATGTTTATCCGACGCACAACAAATGTAAATAAAGCCGCGGAAACCAACAATTCCTCCGGTCATATATTTTATTATAACAAAGCGCGACGTGGTCCCGACAACAATCTCCAACACACGGGATCCTTAAGAAAAATTGTAAAATACCTTATTTTTAAAACTTTCCCGGGAACGCGCTAGATAAACTACGATAGGACCTAAGAAAAATCATAAAATTCCTTATTGTTAAGACTCTTCCAAGAAAACGCTAGATCAACTACGATAGAACCTAAGAAAAATCGTAAAATCATTTATTCTTGAAACACTTCCAAGAAGACGCTAGATAAACTACGATAGGACCTAAGAAAATCGTAAAATCATTTATTCTTGAAACACTTCCGAGAAGACACTAGGTAAACTACGATAGAACCTAAGAAAAATCGTAAACCACGTCACTAGTTGCTAGTAGCTACAATCTCAGACAAAGAAAAAGCCCGCTTTTTTGGGATATAAATACGAGGGCCACGGAAGCGCAAGTCATCAGTTCTAATCGTCAAGTTGTCGGTAATACTAGTCTGTGTCAATTGTCCGAGGCGATAAGCCCGAGTCAACTGTCCGGTCTTAGTTGATCAGTCGCGATTTCATCTTTGATCGAAGTCAGTAGTTCGAGGCCCCACAGTCCGAGGCCACTGACCGATATCTTCCTACAATTCGGTGCTTCACACCGAATTCCGATAAAGTCTGTGCACCGAGAGACCACCCACGGCTGTGCACTAGGACCACTTACGACTGTGCGCATCCGTAACCATCGCAAAGGCTGGGAAGTCCGTCCCCATTTCAAGGAAGCTCCACTACCGTGGACCATCTCGTGAGGGACCGACCGCCGACAGGAGTCTCTCAGCCTCCCGATCCAAGTAAGACCATATTTTGTTTGCTACCCTTACCCCTTTTACTTTCCTTGAGGAGTATACGTACAAAATTGTATGCACGTAAAATTTGTATAAACTCCAACCTTAATTTCTTTTTATGTAACTCATAACACGTAACCCCTTAAAATTCTAGTACGCACTCGTGGTGCCACAAGGGAGTCTCGCTCAAGAGGCCCCCTCGCTAAGAACCCCCGGAGTCCGCGGCCCCATCAGCCCGATATCTCGATGCCGCCACCTCCCTCCGCTCAGCCCGCCACACACACTGAGAATCACACCGCTACACAGAATCCTCATACTCTCCCGTCTCTCTCCTAGATTTCCCTTTAGACCTCACTACATTCCCGCTCCTAACCCCCCTCGATTCCCCCTCGATTTCCTCTCTCTCGATGAACGAACGGTTCCCTCCCATCTCCTTAGATAACATTCCCACTCCTCCTCCGCTCCTTGAACCCAACTTACCTCCCTCCAACACCACCTCCTCCTCACAAACCCTCTTCCCGCCAGAGCAGGTAACCGTAGTGTACCTCCCTGGAGTCACCACCCCCTTTTTAGCTCCTTTGAGCACCCTTGGACCCCTATTCCCCTGTTCCTGCCACCGTAATCCTTCCTAATTCCTCTCCCGCTCTCTCTTCTTCCGTCCATTAGAAACACGCACACAATCATATGTACAGGGTGTCATTAATCGAGCGAATCACCTATCATGAGCAGATAGAGTAGACCGAACTGAGTCGAAAAGTCTTGTACCATTTTTCAGTTGACGCAATATTTAACGAGATATTAGACCTTAAATATAACCAAATAAGCGCGTTCGTCCGGCCTACTACTGGCAAGCGTGTACGCCTCTCAATCGCTCTCTACGCGCGCGGGTCGCGAGGCGCGGGGATAGGCTGGCAGGCGCGCCGTTCAAGTTATGACGTTTGGGGGCTAGCGGCGGTGTGCGCGGCGCGGGCGGCGGAGCGCTTGTCAACCAATCCCCACTCTTCGCGCGACTAGCCATCGCGATAGCGAATATTCGGCGCTTCAGAAATTAATATTTTGACTACGAAGATCAGGAAATGATCGAAAAATCTCTTTGAGAACACAGTTTAGTTCGCTCTAAAGCGTGTACATGCCCGTGTACATACAGAAAAATATTATAAATATGAATTGT